CAAAAATATTGTGTTAAATAGATACCATTATTGCTCTAATTTAATAGGGAAGAACTTTGGCAGGACTAAGTAATGAGCTCAATGTTAAATACATACAGGTGGGCAGGAATTCTCTCCCATTTTTTGTGAGGTTGTGTGTTAAATAACTTTTTTTTTTTCCTGGTGAATAAGTTTTGTTGCCTAAATTCTATGTACCTCAGTTTTCTCAGTTCTATAATGGGAATAATGAAAAAAACTGTTGAGGGGAAAATGATGAGTTAATAATAATGAGATTACAATATATGTAGAACACTTAGTCTATGGCACATTTCCAACACTCATTAGAAGTAAAGTGACTTGATCATGATGATGATGATGGTGATGATGAGTCCTTTAGCTTTTGACTGATCTTAGCTGCAGAATCCGTGGCTGAGTATGAGCTGAAACTATCTCTTACACAGATGAGTTATTAGAAAAAAATGTGAAACACAATTATTCTATATTACTCTTTTTTTTTAGATGAAGTTTCTCACTTGTCACCTAGTCTGGGGTGCAATGGTGCAATCTTGGCTCACTGCAACCTCTGCCTCCCAGGTTCAAGTGATCTGCTGCCTCAGCCTCCTGAATAGCTGGGATTACAGGTGCCTGCTACCACACCCAACTAATTTTTTTTTTTTTTTTTTTTTTTTTTTTTTTTTTTTTTTTTTGTATTTTCAGTAGCGATGGGGTTTCACCATATTGGACAGGATGATCTTGAATTCCTGACCTCAGGTGACCTGACCACCTTGGCCTCCCACATTCTTTCTTGATTAATTGACCTATGCCTTTTCTTAAACGATGACTTGTTGATTATGCTGTATGCAGAACAGTTTGCACATAGCAAATCTCATCTGATGCTCAACATGACCTGGTAATCCGATACTTGACTAATAAAAAGCAGGAACTCAAAGTAGTTATGGGGCAAGAATCAAACCAGAGTGATAAGTGGTAAAGATGAAATCAAAGTCAATTTTCTGACTTTGCCCATTATTTTTTTCAGCACGCCACCCCATTTAAATTGTGGAAAATTCACTCGTGCTCTGTTTTCACTGGCGTCATGTAACTTTTAATTTCAAACTATTTCTGGATGCATGTGCTTCCTTCTGGTGCTTAATAAACTTGAAATGTCATCTAATGAGAGTGTTGTTAACCTCTGGCCTCAGGCTCTGATGATTCTTTCCAACCTCTTATTTTCCTTCCCCTTTAAAAATTATTATTCTATTATTTCAGGATGTCTGGAAAATAAGAAAGAAGTCCAACTCCCACACATTACCATTCCTCAGCCCTGGTTTTCCTTTTTTTCATTTGCTTTTCCCTCCATTCATTTCACAAACATTTATTGACAAATAAGTGTTGATAATTCCTGACATGCTAGTATTTTGCTAATATCCGGGAATAAAAGAAACACTAATTGAATATCTAAACTTGCTGTTTGATATCCTACTTCTTTTCTATCTCTTTTCCATTAACAGGTCTGGCTTTCTCTTTGAATTATCTGAACTGCATTGCTAAAACACTTCGTTATTTCAAGCAAATACAGAAACAACCTTTTCACACATACAGTTGTCTCTTCAACACATTTATCTCAATTAATGAGCAAGTTCATATGCATGCTGTTTACATTATCTTTCAGCTTTTTTTTTTGCATTTGAGTCCCTGTTTAATCTTTTAAAGTTCATTTATATATATACTCTATATAAAATGTATTTATATACACTGAATCAAAATTAACAATCTTTTTAAACTAGGTCTCAAGATCCTGGTTTATTCACCATTATCCTGTTTAACTTCCTTAAAAATTAGCTCATTTATTTCTCAAAACTCTATAAACTATAAGTTTAAAGACAAAACAGAAACATGGAAGTAAACACTGTATTTCTCTATCACACCAAAGTCAATCAAGAGTCATGCTTTTCTGTAACTGTTTAGCCTATGTTGTTTATGCAAGTGGCTTATCTTTTGTGAGGGGAAAGCAGGCCCAGTATTCACACTACTTCCTTCAAATCTGTAAGTTTTGAGTGTTCCCTTGTCCTTTTCCAATTCTCATGTGCAATTCTTAACATGTCTATTTTGATAATAAAATCTCTGATCTAAATCTCAGTCATTTGGAACTTTGCCATATTGTAATAGTTTTAAAGAGTGATTCTCATAACACTGACATCACTCATTTTTCAAGAGGAAACAAATAAAAACAAAACACAAATTTCAAGTGATCCATTTTAGACTTACTTTAAGCCTGTAAGACCTCAACCTCTATGAATAAGACTAAATCATGTTGTAAGTATTTGTAGTGAGTTATACAGTATGGGTAGGTAGAGATAGAGACAGAAAAATTCTCTTTTTAGAATTATAATGTCCTTATGAAGAAGATGAGGTGATGTGCTTTTACTAGGCCTTCTAGGAATCATGCAGTCAGTTATTACCACTTTACTGTACTTATTTCTCATTGCAATAATATAGAGTGTGGTGACATTGAAAGGAAGTGTTGAATAGTGTATCTTTTAAGTGGTAATAACATAAGGAAATTCAATCTGGTTCATGAAAATGAAAAAAGAAAGGATCATGACACATTCTCTCTAAAGGAATGGCAGCTACTAGAAATGGAATGTGTTACTTTTATGAGAAGAGGTCTTGTCTGAGAAGGTATACTGCTTCAGCACACACATCAGCAAATTTCATCATGTATGAAGTATGATGCAGATGAAATATCCAATGCTCCCATGATATACCACATTGTTAAAATATTTATTTATATATTGTTAAAATTCTGCATTTTACAACTAAATGACTTTGTATACGGCTTCGAGTGGATATACAAATCAATTAAGGGGTTGAAAACATGCTGGAGAAATGTAAACTTATTTTTTATATGTCCATTGAGGCTTTTTATATATTTAGTGAAAAAAAAAAAACATGTAGAACTGGAAATAAACTACAGCAACAATGATTTAGGCTAGATAGAAGAAAGGATGTTGGGAGGGGGGTGCTGTAAAATTGCCTCTGAAAGTCATTGGTTGGGATAGTTTTATTATGATCATTTGAGTACAAGGATATAAACTAGACAAGCTATTTTCTAGCCATATTTTTAGAGAAACACCAGATTAAAATTAATATAATTATTAGCATATGGATTGCTTTTCTTGGCATAAACATCAAATATAACAAAACAGTCATAAAGCAGGTGACTACTTTAAAGGGTTTATTGAAGGCATATTAATTTGATTTTTTTAAGTTATGATTTTTTTTCCCACATAGGTAATACTGGTGACAGCTTTATGCCTTTTTTTTTTTTTAAAAAAAAAAATAAGAGGAACTCTTATGGAATCTTCATTCATTGAAGTATGGAAAATAAAAAATAATAATACATAAGAGGAACTCCAATCTTCTATCTAAAAAGCAGCCTTCTACTGGACATGATTATGCTGCATTATGCGTAATTATTACTGGAGCGCAGGGTGATGGGGTAAAAGATATCTGAATTATGAATCAGGGCACTGTGGCTCTGCTGTCATCTCTTCTACTAGCTAGAGGTGTGACCTTGGAGAGGTCACTTTTAAATCTCATTTCTTAGCTTCTTGTAGGCAACCTCAAGGCAGTATTAGAGGATGCAACCTCTTATGTTCTTTCCTTCCCTGAAATTCCATTTGGAGAGTTTAATTAAATCATCATTTAGATAAGTTAGTATTTTATCTTTCACATATATAAGAAGCAGATTCTTTTTCTCATATTTAAAAAGCTTTCACACAAGTTGTCAGTGAATAGTTAAAATGTGTCAGTGTATGTTATTTTAGCATAAAATTTGACTATAGCTAATACAGCAGATAATCACCTTGTACTATATAAAAACTTAAAATGAAAATACTTACTTGGTTTCTTAAGCTCCAACTGTCAAAATAGCTCTCCATCTTTCACTTAGTATTTTTTGTGTTCATCTAATAGATTTGAAAATGTACATGAATATGTATTCTCTTTATGTACCATTTTATTTCTATAAAATAATGATTTTTATTATATTCAGAAATACAACAATATCTTATGCATTATAGGTCCATAGTTCTTCAGTTATTACTAAGCTTTTTCCTAATATATTATACATTTAAACATTTAAGATTACCTTAAAGAGACTACAGTCAAGTGGAAATGTAATTTTACGATTACATAAAGTAAGGACACAGTTTCCATATGACTGAGTGATTTCTGGCTGCCTTAAAAGAGTTATAATGAGTGTCAGTGTCATTGAGATTGACTTCATTTATTCAAAATATTACACAAAATGTGACCTGAGCAGTGAATCCAGGAAAATTAACATAAACTAAATTCAATTCTGACATTTAAATTTCCAAAACTCAGACTAAAGACTAGTCGGGACAGAAATAATTCCTGAAATTTCATTTGTTTACTTTTTTTTTTTTTTTTTTTTTTAAAAATAATGAACATTTTAAACTGTACAGGAGAAGCTTGACATATGATTGAAACTGGTGGTTTGGGGAAATAATAATGAATTCAATTTTTGTAGTTTTAAATGATACACAAAATACTCTTTGGAGACTGATTATTAAGCAAAAGTCACTGGGGTGCTTTCTACTCTCCCTGTTGGCAACGGAAGGTAGGGGAGGAATTCATTTACACCTCACACTGGTGTGTGAGAAAATGTATTTGTTTCACATTATGCCATGAAATAGGAACACTGGTCTGATAGCTCAATTAATAAATAAGTTAAAAATTAAAAGAGATCAAAATAAAATCTTACTTTACGGAGGAAAAGAGTTAAATCTATATGGAGCCTATTTTAGAACTGACAGTTTGCTAAAACGGTTTGACTTACAGTTTTCTACTTTCAAACGTTTTCCCCTTTTGATTTTATGGCTTTGCTCTAAAACCTAGGAAGTCACCAACTCAGTGCAAGATGCTAACATTTATCTCAATCTTTCTGCCTCTTCAAAGAACAGCTCAAAGCATAAAGATAGTCCATAGCGTCTTACCTAGACAACGAGGAGCTGAAACGCCAAGGCATGACACTGCTCAACACTCAGGCTAGGAAAGAAGTCCGTCCCCGTTAGTTTCTCCAAAATCTAAGTTCCCATTTCGTGGTTGAGATCATGGCTCTATTCTGAGCAGTTTCACGCAGTGTGTGATTCTAACAAAAACACCCTCTGCAGCTGGAGGGAGCCTTAGCTAAGGCAGGATCCTGTCAAGGCATTCCTAGTGACTTCTGTCTACTAAATTCAGACTGAGGTTTTGCAAAAGGGGCCTCCACAACCAGGCCCAGATTGCCTGGAAAGTATTTCCTGCCTCTGAGGAGTGTGCATGCGAGAAAGGCTGTAGGAAGAGGGGAGGAGGGGAGAGCCCAGCCGCCTGGGCGTTTTAGGAGTTCTGATTTTACACAGAACTCAAGTGAGTTTTGTCAAAGCTCTTGAGGTGATTAGCTGGAGAGTCATAAAGTCCTAGAGCTTTTTCTATCCCACACTGCTTATGAAAAAAATAAAAAAAAGAATGAAAACATAGTTCTCTCTCCATCCACAACCTTTCCACTATATTAAATGTATATGCACAGCTTAATCAAAATGCCTTTGCTCGCTCTCTCATTTCAAAAGATCTTTCAAGAGAGCAAGATGAATTTAGCCTTAATACCACAATTCTTCTAAATTGTAAAACCTTTTTTGAACATGACTTAAAACTGGAAATGCTGCAGCTTTTCATTTTATCCCTGAGACCATCTGTAAGTAAAATCTCAAGCATCCAGTTAATAGAACGATTTCTTCCAATCTCTCTGATCTCAAGAATCCTTCACAGAATTAACATAATTTGTGTTATGGCAAATGCAGCAGCATTACCTCTAGTCAGAATCCTCCAGTTACAAAAATTCAGTGCTGGAGCAGAAGACAGACTCCATCTTGATCATATTAGAGTCTTGCTGACATTAAACACTTACAACTGCTTCCATCTATCATGGCAGCGTTCCTGAATCACATCTCTAAAGCTGCTCATGGTATCTGCATCCTTCGTCCCTCACAAATTTTGTGAACTATCATCTGTTTATCTTTTCTGCTTTCTTGTGCCTCCCCTGAATGACTTCCTTCTAGCTGCTCCAGGCTGGGAACTTGGACTACCATTTGGTTTTGATTAAAACCAGACAGCCAACTCTGGAGAATTTAGGGAATAAGCTAATGGAAACTGCAAGTATGGCTTTAATTAGTGCATCAATTAATAATAGAGGTTAGCTTGTCTTATAATAAGATGTCACAAATACAAATGCAGAGGAAGATGAAGTCGTTTCAGGAAAGAAGTTACACCAATTTTCCTTCCTTTATGACCCAGAATCCTCTTTAGGGAATGTGGAAGGAAAGAAGAGGGAGGTGGCCTTGGGACAGCCAGGCTGTGGAGAGGCCAGTGGAGCAGCTTCATTGTTTATACCAGGGAAGCAGGAAACAGCATCTCTGACTTTAATTATCTTGCTTGTCAAAATTGCTCAGTAATGTCTCCCTTCTACTTTATTTACAATCAATGGATTCTGCTGCTATTTATGACTCAAGCATTTTTTTTTTTTTGGGGTGACTGATGATCAGATTAATCTAATTATTGGATCTATGTGCTTCTTGCAAATTTCTAGAGGCTTTCAATTATAATAAGTGCAAGAATAATTTCAATTTGATGTGACATAATGAGTAACATATAAAGAGGTATAAGACATTTTAAACTTGTTTGCCCTAAGATCCGTTCTGTTCTCTGAAATTGTAAGTGGTTTTCATTGTCCACTGTTATTCTCCATCCCTGTGTATCACAAGGGCCATCTTGCAGTATTTTCTGATAATATTGGGTGGGTGATAACTCAAAGATGCACAATGTGCTAACTGCTATTTCTTTCCTTATTAGATAACTGAAATCTCTCAAAGTTAGTGCAGATCATGAACTGTATTTGACACATGTTAAATGGCAAGAACGACTTCTACTGTGCATGAGTTCGAAGATGAGAAATAGTCAAATGAAAACATTTGGTCAGAAGCAGTTTTAAAAGTTTAGATCAAAGTCCTACTGACTAAACACATGAGCATTTAGGTTTTTTTAATTTATGCCAAGAAGGAATTCTGTTCTTCCATAACTCCTTTAAAAAGTATTCATATTCATATTTGAAGTATTTGTGCTGACACTCTGCCTATTTAATCATTCCAGCAATTTTGTGTGTGTTCTTATGTTTTATTTTACAAATAAAGTATTGAGAAGTAATTTTCTCACAATCAAATGATAGGAAGTGGCCAAGTCCACACTGGAACTCACATCTTCTGACTCCAAGTGTTGTGCTTTAATTTTTCTTCCATAAACTACCTTCCTTAACTTCCACTTAATTTATGTATGCAATTGGGAAGACTTCTTAAATTCCATGAGTTTCTTATACCTCTTTAATAATAGAGACAATTTCACATAACTTATAGATTAGAAAGCAGGGTGAAATTTATATACATAAATATTTATGTATTTATATTTACTTCCCTAAGAAAAACACTGGAGAAGAAAGGAATGAAAATTGATGTCTTGTCTTTCCTAAATATACCTTGTATATCTCTATCTTGAACTGTCTCTGCTTTTATACTGATACATAGTGGTTGCTCAACATTTATATCAGCACTGTGCTAATTCTTAGCTAGATTTTACTCATCAATACTGTACCCTGCCCCATATAATTTAGTTTTGTTTCTATTTATAATGCCTGGAGAAAACAACAAAACTCTGTTCACAAATGCCTTTTAGATATCTAGATACTCTTATTAGTAAGTTTCTCATAAACATACCCTTTTCTAAACAAAAAGTACACTATGTTTTCTTCTATTAATAGAAGGATTACTTCCCAAATCTTTAATTACTTATATTTATTTTTCATTGTTCACTTGCTTGATTCCAAACAAATCTCAGATCTTATAGTCTTATAAAGGTTTTACCAAATATGAGTATAAATATAAATAGTGAGAAAACTTCCTAAGTATTTAATATTGTGCCAGAAACATTGAAGGATTTCAAAATATTTGTCCCCTTCTTTCTACATGCAAATCTAAATACCAACTTCCTTAAATGTTTGACAATTGCTCTGTACTAGATCAACTAATCAAAGAAGAGGATGGAGACAGTTAAGTACTTGAAAACAAAGTATCAGGAAAGGAGTCTGCTCCAAAACTAACAGCCTTGGGAATCTGTGTGAGTTACCTAACCCAGTAAGGATGTCTTAGCTTCCATAACTAAGAATTGTCACAGTCCTAGAAGCTAGTCCATATAAAGCCATTAGCTAGAATTATTTTTAACACTTAAATTATTGTCTTGTTTATGTTTACATCTCTCTTTCAGATATTTTTAGAATCTTCTCTCTCTCTCTCTGTTTCTCTCTCTTCTATTGAACTCCAAGTTAAATGTGTACATGTGAAACAGTTATATTGGTGAAACAATTATGTACTCTGTGCAAAGAAAGGAATAGGAGGAGGAGGATTAAATGTTTTTTACAGATTGCTTTTTTTTTTTTTTTTTTTTTTTTTTTTTGATGGCCCAGGCTAGAGTGGAATGTCATAATCCCGGCTCACTGCAACCTCTGCCTCCTAGGTTCAAGCAAATCTCCTGCCTCAGTCTCCTGACTAGCTGGGATTACAGGTGCACACCGCTTAACTTGGCTAATTTTTTTATTTTTAGTAGAGACAGGGTTTCATCGTGTTGGCCAGGCTGGTCTTGAACTCCTGTCCTCAAGTGATCTACCTCCCAAAGTTCTGGGTTTAGAGGCGTGAGCCACGGTGCCTGACCCAAAGATCACTTTTCTACCCATGTACTTTTACCTAAACAATACACATTAACGATGATCACTTATCTAGTCATTCCCCAATCATTTTCAGGAAAATTGAATCTGGACTTCTTTACAAAATTCAGTGTCTTTAATGTACTTCAGTAACACTTTGTGTAAAGCAGGATCGGATCTATCCTTTGAAAATAGTATTTTACTCTTTTTTTTTTTTTTTTTTTTTTTTTGAGATGGAGTTTCGCTCTTGTTTCCCAGGCTGGAGTGCAATGACGCGATCTCGGCTCACCGCAACCTCCGCCGCCTGGGTTCAGGCAATTCTCCTGCTTCAGCCTCCTGAGTAGCTGGGATTATAGGTACGAGCCACCATGCCCAGCTAATTTTTTGTATTTTTAGTAGAGACGGGGTTTCACCATGTTGACCAGGATGGTCTCGATCTCTCGACCTCGTGATCCACCCGCCTCAGCCTCCCAAAGTGCTGGGATTACAGGCTTGAGCCACCGCGCCTGGCCTTATTTTACTCTTTTATGAAATAAGTAGTAACATCATCAATTCAGTACCCACATTCGATATTTGTGATATTATGAGTAGAAGTCAGCTTTTATGTTTTGTATTTTTGTTAGTGAATAGGTTTATAATAGTAATGAACCTGAAATTAATATATAAAGAGAATAAATACCTTTAAACTATTTTGAAGTATCCACATGCACATGGTTAGTGTTATAAATGTAAGAACACTTTGTCCATGAAAATTATCCCTCTAAAAATCTCTGCTTAACAATTTGCTTGTAATTTATTGAAGTTACAATAATATATGGAAGCAATAAAAATAGAATTTATCAGAATTTCTAATTTATCTTTTTCAGTAAGTTTTACATGTCTTTTCTTTAAATAAGTTCACTTTGATAGACATATCCAGAGCAAAAAAAAAAAAAAGTTCACTTTGATAGTCACATTGAGAGCAAAAATATAATTTTATAGTTTATATTCAATAAGCATTATTAATGTTTTGATCAACATTGTCAAAATTTTGACACCTCAATTTGGTAACCATGTAGTATTTACCTGGAAGTACTCATAAAAGGAACATACTTAAGTTTGGTGTTAAATGATCAAAAGTAGCAAAATCATATACACTCTCCAAAAGCAATGATTCCTGCTTCTTGGACTACTGATGTTCATTATCCTCCTTCATTGAAAATTATTACCATCTATAAATAGATATGAAGACAAAGGTATATTGATAAGTTTCAAATGGCTTTGAAAAAAATAAATGTAATAAAAAATAACAAAAATATATATTGACACAGACAGGCAGACATATATGTCTTAGAAGTTAATGAGTCTGCTTGCCTGTCCCATAGGACTAGGATACCCTCAGACACACAAAGCTTCCAAGCCATGCAAGAGTTTGTTTAGAGAGATCTGTGTGTGCCCTGCCTGTAGAGCCTGAGGCTCTTCCTCTGTCAAAGCTTCCTTTTTATGTTAACACTTAAGCTGAAGTCACCATATGCCACCCTCTAGTCACCAC